ACCACTGCCAACCACCATAATCGTCGCCCACAAACACCACCGCTATCACTCATGACTGTCACTACCACTATTGTCACAAAAAATCCACCACCAGCATCACCATTGTCACCCATAACTACAACCATCACCATGGTCGCCGCCACCCACCACAATCATCACTATCTCCCACTATCACCGTTCAGCTCTACTATAACCGGTTTTAAATTATTTTTTTTGCTCTATGTTTGTAATTTAATTTTGAATGTGAATGTAAATATATTTATTGTTAACCATTTTTTTTAATATTATGTGCCTTTAGGGACAAACAATAACTAGTAAACAAATAAGATGCATTTTAATACTAATAATTAATTTTTTATTCACTTTTCTTCGGATTTTAAAGGATTGATTTTGGTGAGTTTAAAGAAAAACTCATCATCCATCCACTTTTTTATTCTCTTATTTTCATTCCTTATCAAACATGATATTTTTATTTATCCCATCAATTTTTCATACTTTCAACTTTTTACCTTTCTATTTTTTGATCCAAGTATAAGTTGGCAAAGTTGTTATTGGCTCTATGTGTGGGGGATTAAGATGTTGTTGCTCTGGTCTCCAATCTTCGTAAGTCTAAGGTTACTCCGAAGGTTGACTTCGAAAAGAAAGAGGCCCTTCTGGAGAAAATTATGAAGGAAAGTGGCGAACGTTCCAAGAAGGCCGCTAATGCTGGTAGTCGAGCATCCAAGTCTGTTGAGGTTATGCTGAAGGACAGAACGGGCTAAGGGCTAAAACCCTATTTTGTATCACACTCCCATTCTTTTTTCTTTTCCTCTCTTCTTCCATGGTACAATTCCACTGTAACTATATTAGAATCTATGTACCACTGAAAGTATTCAGATATGAGCATTTGTATCTCCTGAATACTGCAGTGGTTTATGTGTATACGTATGTCTCTACAAATTTATGCATGGTCTTTGCTTGACTAGAGTTACCTTCAAGCGATCTCTTTGCTCGACATACTTGCCGAGGATGCCCACTCCAGTTGCAAGAGATTCTTCCAGCATCCTGGATGAGTTGCGCGCAGACCGCATTGCTTGCTCCTCCTCATCAAAAATTCTCAAAATATGAGAGGATTCCCCATTCTAGTACAAAAAGCAAACCCATTAGAAGGAAAAGTACTTAAATGAGAAGAATCAACACATAATATGTGATCATTCATATCATCCAAATAAAGGATTACATACAGCTCTTCCAAGCAATTATGCTCTCTCTTGGGCATCTTGCACCCGTCTTTGATTCCACAAGAAGTACTTATCTAGACTATCTTTAAATGAGTCAGCCTCTTCAGCTACTTATTCCACTTTCCTATTTTCAAAAAAGTATACATAACACATCAAGTGCAAATACAAGACAAGAAAAATGCTATCAGATACAATGTTCACAAGGACTACAGATCCTTGACCAAGACAATGGCCAAAAATAAAAGGAAGGTCACTAGTTTGGGTTTGTATCTCCTAGAGTCAACTTGTTTAATGATGTTAACATTTCAACTAACAAGCAGTTAAAAAAAAACAGCTGCAGAAACTAGTCTCCACTATTCTTTCATAGTGCAAAAAAAATTATCTAGCTTCACACAGCAGCTTCTTCACCAAAAATTCTGTAAGTCGAGATGACAATCCATCGCCATCCAAACAGATCGGTCCACACTTCAAAATCGAAGGGACCCACATCAACTATCTCAGCTAATCCCCTGTCGAGTGTTTTTTTTTTTTTTCCTATTCCCTTTCTCTCTTTTTACCTACACTTTTCTAGTGAAACCCAAGAAACACTACTTGACCAATCCTTTTGACAAAGTCTACGAATGACACAAATTGCTCTATGAATTCTGATAGAATGACCTCTTTCAACCACAGGGAGAGATATCGTGTCTGTGAGACAATTGAAGTCTGGAGAAAACGATCGATTTAGGGCAAAACTTGCCTAAAATTTTGATTTTATACACCTAATATTTGAACCGCTGGATTTTTTTATCCGGTTCACTATTTTTATTAAAATCGCCCAATTTTTATTGCTTGTCAACGGTTCACATGTAAAGGCAATTTAATAGTTAAACCGTTCGGTCTGGTCCGATTCCGAGAACATTGACATTACGTGAGCACTAGCAGTAGCCCATGTCCGAGGAACAAACAAACAAATCGTAGTTTCAACGGTATAAAAAAATGAGAATCTAACGAAAAACGTGAAATTGCAAAATAAAGTTTTAATTGGTAATGTTGTTTTGCATGATTTTAGTAAATGTTATAGGCCATGAATGAAGCTTAGATAATCACCACTGTCACTCTATCACAGAAAAGCAAAAAATATTTTCTAGCTAATAACTACTGCGCCACTCAAAAAAAAAAAAAAACAATGATTAATTGATTACCGCTGTCACCCCCACAAAAAGAAAAGCCAAAACCCCACCGATCACACCTGCTGTAGCTCAAAAAAAAAAAAGATAGTAATTATTTTTTATTTTTTGGGAGGGAGAGTTGGAGCAGAGATAACGTGCTAACATTTCAAACTGAAGATCGAACTCTTAAAGTTCTCAGCATCCATAATTGACCCTAATATTTTGTATCTTAGAAGCATGCAATACAAAGAGACAATAATCACACCAATAACATTATACAGTGACCAGTAATTAAAAAATGCATAAAACACAGAAAAATAATTAAATTTAAAGAAATCCCTACGATCTAATACAGGTAAATCGACGTAGTATAACAATCTGAATTTTTAAAAAATGAGAATTATAATTAGGGATTAAATTTTGAGAAGTATTACATTTTTAATTATGTATTCAAAACCAATGATAACATGATAAATTTTGAGGAGTATTTTTTCATTTGCAAAGCCAATCTGCGGGCTTACCTTTCATTCTTTTGCAACAGCGAGAACCGATCTCAGCGAGGAACTCTTGAAACGGGTCAAGCGAGCCACAAATTTTTCTTGTCGTGACTTCAGGGTGCTAATGGCTGAGGAGAAGAGAAAGTTATCCCTTGGTTTTTCTTCTGAAAAATTTTTCTAGTCTTTATTATTTTTTACTTTGCTTAGAATCCATGAGCCGACCTCTAGATAAGAAGGCTATGTTATCCCTACCAGGGCCATTCTTGATGGAGATAAGGTCGCGAATTCGATTGTTGATCTGTTGGAGCAGACTGGCTGATGATCCTTCGACGGCCTCAAGATTAGTCGGACACCAAAAGACCCCGTATGAACAGCTGCGGATGTCATCGCCGTTCGGGCCTTCAGAGAATCTAGTCGTCTGGATTCAGAGCCGAGCTACTAGGGAATGGTGGAGAAAATGTAGGAACTGGGCCTCCAGAGATCCGCTCTCGGGCTTGTGAAAAATATGAGTGAGGTATCTTTCAGTTTCCTTATACTTAGCTTTTATTTCTTGTCTTGTTCCCTCTCTGTTCTTCCTAAGCTTACAATTTTTCGTTTTAAACACTCAACTCGTTATCGGCTCTATGTGTGGGGGATCAAGATGTTGTTGCTCTGGTCTCCAAACTTCGTAAGTCTAAGGTTACTTTGAAGTTTGACTTCGAAAAGAAAGAGGCCCTTCTGGAGAAAATGAAGGAAAGACGCGAACTTTCCAAGAAGGCCGCTAATGCCGGTAGTCGAGCAGCCAAGTCTGTTGAGGTTATGCTGAAGGAAATGGAACGGGCTAAGGAGTTATAAGAACAAGTTTTCGAATTGACGTTGTCCCTTAGTGAAAAAGAGAAGGAAGTGGTGGCAAGGGAAGAGAGAAACAGTGCTTCTGTTCATGCAAGGGAAAATTTATGAACGACATGGGTCGGTGTTACTCTGCGGGGTATGAGACTTTCTGTACTCAAGCTGCTGCCAAGTTTCCTGACATGGACTTTAGCGTGATCCAAAAGGAGGAAGAATGATGTTTATTTTCAAGCTTTTGATATGGTTTTCTATTATCTGTTCATTATATTATAAAACTGGTATTTTTAATATCAATATTCTTACCTTAGTTCCCGTATTTGTTCTGAATTTCGACGATTCTGATATAATTCACATTAAAGATTCTGTGACGGTTTACAGTGTGGTTATGAGTTCGTATCCTATACCCTAAAGATTTGACATAAGGGATCCATGGTCTCAGGGCGATGCTCAACAATTTCTAATTACTATAGAGGTATTTTAAATTAAGAAGGGATACTAACCTCGCTTATTGGATCACAAAAATAAGCTTCCCCTTTCTTGGAGTCTTTGTTCCGATGTGTTGTCTATGTCTCCTAACTAACGTGGTGGTGGGTTGTTTGTGTTGTGCGTGTTGGGGGAAGAGAGAGATAGTGGTGTTATGGTGGGCAAGACGGTATGTGCGCGATTGTGGAAGGTTGATGGTTTGTGGTGCAGTCGAGGGTGGATTTGGGATAAGTTTAATTAAGCTAATTTAGGGGTTATTTTTTGTAATTAGGAGGATATTTACTTATTAAGTTAACTAAATAAAATAAAGATTTTAATTAGCTTGATTAATGGATGTTCATAGATTGATTAGTGGATTTAGTTACTCAACTTAAGGAAATAAATGATGTTAATTGCTTTGGTTAATTACTTAATTAATGGGATGAGTTAACTTATCTATTGTAATTTTTTTTTTTTTGGGGGTAGGGGTTGGGGGGTTTAAGGAGTTTACAAAATTATTGTAGCTTTTGTGTTAGTTTATTTATTTATGTTGTCTATTATCTATATTTCTTATGAATGCAGGACATGTGAAAAAATTTTAATTTTATATTTCATCTCTATTTAATAATATTAAGTTAATCATACCCCACATATCCTTATTAATGTCATTATTTTTCATTCCACGTTATATTAAACCTCTTCTCATAACATTAAGTCTCTAGCTATTCACTCTACTTATAACTTTAAATTTTTAATTGAAAAATTAATTCTCTGACACATAATTTATTTATTTAATTCAATTACACATATAATATATAATTTTTATGAGACTAAAAAAAATATATTATTTAAATTTATTCATGTGCAATGTACATTATGCCTTGCTAGTCTTTTCAAAAGCATAGACCCTTCCTTAGTGGGGAATTGCATGTGCAGTTTAGAAATTTAGTGATAAATATATGTTAATGTCATTAAAGTTTGACTATTTTTACACAAATCTTAATGGGATGGGCTATATGTTATATGAGATCAAACCTTCAGGAAGCGCGAGGTCGGTCCATTTGATTTAGTAACAAACTTTAGAGGCTATTTGTTTGAGGTATAAAGGTGGTATAAAAAGATGTTATAAGAAAAATAGTACGTGGACCCTACGTTATATCGTGTTTGTTTTGCATTTTTTAGGAGGTACTATTTTTTGGATCATAATACTGACCCAGAATGAACAATGCAAATAATGTCTCCTATAAGGTGTTATTGCATACCACCTACCCGGTGGTATAATATTTCGGTATAAATTTCATGGAGGTATTATATGATAAAAAGACCCAAATGCTCTCGTCTACAATGGCCCATATAAAACCCGAGTTTCTCCCAACAAACCCTAGCCACTCGATCAATCGCCTCCCCCAACAAACCCCTTCACCTACTTGAAGAAGCTGAACAATCAGTCAACCAAATATGAAGACGATGAATCATCCTTCACCTCCCTGAATTCGCTGAACAGTCACTCTGCTCCCTGAAGACGCTAAACCATCGTTTGCCTCCCTGAAGACGCTGAACCATCGTTCGCCTCCCTTCGCAGATCTTGACGCTGGTATCTCCCTAAGTAGATCTTCATGCTGCTGAACCCTTTTTTCTGCAAATGACAAACAGGTACGTTCGTTAAGATCTGTGTTTGTTTTATCACATATATGCAGCTGTGATTTCTACAACAATTTATGTACTTATTTTAAAAGGGGAATGGTCACTGATTTTTGTATTTTTTTTTTTTGAGAATGTTGATGACCGAAAAAAATCCAAAAATATAAGCACTGAAAAAAAGCCAAAAGTATATCATGTATAAACAAATTGGATGAACGCAGCATTCAGTGGAGACCATTTAACTCAATCTCAAACAATCTTATTTAGTTTTTTGGTAAGAGACCGAAAAAACAACAGTTAAATAATGTCGTATTTCCCTGATATATGGCGGTCGAAAATCTCCTTTGTTTTCCATAATGAGAAGGTAATAGTGTAATATCCACAATGAAATCTTAAATGGTAATGATCATTCATAGTTGTAAATCAAAAGAAAAAGAAAACTCCTTGGAAAATCAGGAATATAATTTTTCCAGACCTTTATCTAATTAAACAGCATCTTGATTCAAATGTAAAAGTTATTGTGAGTAAATCAGAATTGTTATATTCAAAACTTTTATTCATGATGTGGTAAATTAACGTCGTATTTATTGTCATAATTGTTAGCAACTTATTTTAACATTTTTTTTTCATTCATATAATTGCTCAGTAACTAATATTTTTTCATCTGTCCAATTAAACTTCTTAAATTTAGTATTAGTTAATATACTTCACTCAAATAAGGTACATTGGTTGTTAATGAATGATGGATAAAATTGGTATTAAGTGATTATGCAAGGGTAAAATTGAAAAACAAATGTTAAAATCAATTTTTGTTAACGGATCAGGTCTTTTGTTTGAGTTTGTTTTCATAATTGGTATGGAATGTTGGCCCCATCCATCTTATATCCCACGTTTTAATGTCCAAAATGTTTGTGTGAGTGGCAGTTGTTATGGATGAAGGCAATGATATCAGTGTGCCAATGGTGGTTGTTTTGGATAGTGTCTTCTCTGATATGGTTATGATATGCTCATGTCTTATTGCTATGATTGCAAATTTGGTGGAATTTCTAAAAAATCAAAACAACAATATTATCCCAAGCTCAGTCACGCGAACCCGACTGCAAATAGAGCATCTCACTAGACTGATAGGTGAAAGTGATATCACATGCTACAATCAACTTAGGATGGACCGACGAAGTTTTTCTATATTGTGTACACTAATTGAATAGGTTGGTCGGCTACAAGGAATGTTAGCATTGAGGAGATGGTAGCTATGTTCTTGAGTATTATTAGTCATGATATTAAGAATAGACCAGTAAAATTCAGTTTCATTAGATCAGGTGAGACGATTAGCAAATATTTCAATGCAGTGTTGTTGGCGGTTCTTAAGCTACGCCGATTACTGCTTGCACCCTACTCCAATTATAGAAGAATGTACTGACCCTAAGTGGAAGTTTTTTAAGATATTTTCACATTTTGAGTTGTCACGTCGCGTAGTATGTAGATATCTAAATATGAATTGATAATATTTTTATTTCATATTGCCTAGAACTGTGTTGGGGCTTTAGATGGGACTCACATTAGAGCAAAAGTGTCACTTGTCCACCAAGCAAGATATAGGACAAGGAAGGGTCAAATTACCACAAATGTGTTAAGTGTATGTGCGCCTGACATGAGAATCATATATGTTTTGCCTGGTTGGGAGGGATCAACGACAGATTCACGAGTCCTTCGAGACGTAGTTACAAGGCGTACTGGGTTATATGTTGAACGGGGTAAGCTATGGTGGAAATTTGTAGCATTAGTATTTTTTTGGAATTGTTTACTAATTGGTGTATACACAATTACGACAGGCACATATTATTTATGTGATGTTGGGTACACCAATGGTGATGGTTTCTTAGCTCCATTTAGGGGTCAACAATACCATCTTGACGAATTTGGAAGTGGAAGGGAAGCTCCTCGTAATGCCGAGGAATATTTTAACCTTAAACATTCATCTGCCCGGAATGTTATTGAGAGGTGTTTTGCTCTCCTCAAGATGCGATGGGCAATCCTTCGAACTGCGTGTTTCTACCCGGTCCCCACACATAATTGAATTATTGTTGCTTGTTGTCTTTTACATAATTTCATTAGAAATGAAATGTCATTTGACCCATTAGAAGACCGCATACCTGAGTATGTTCTTAATGATACTGATGACAATACAAACACTAATGTAGTTGACAGTGTTGAGATGTCTACTGCATGGACTGCTTGGAGGACTCAGTTGGCGAATGAAATGTACGCGGCATGGCAAATGGGTAGCTGATTTTGTTGAGATATAGGGGCGAGCAAGTGGTTATTTTTTCAACCCTTAATTAGTAAACTCAATGGATGTTATGTTTTAATATACGTTGTTGGTACGTTGTCTAGTTTGCTTAATGGATGTAAAACAATTTATTTGGTGGTGTAGTATTGTGCAATATATTCTACATTTGTCTTATTGTAATTCATTTTATATTGCATATTGGCTGTAGACTGATAAATAGATGTGTGTATGTATTGTATATATATGCATAGAACATGGTTTGTGTTGGCAGCTCCCATGGTATGAATGGGATTCAACTTGAAAAAAGTACCTGACGAATTTGGACAAGTGTGGAAGAGACATAACTAATAAATGCACTGAAGGATCTATGTGCAGTAGGGCTGAAGTGTCCTAATGGTACATTTAGGCCCGATTATTTGCAAATGCTAGAAAACAGAATTGGCAGCAGTACATTTCGTGGACAATCCACATTGAATCAAAGATAAAAATGTGGAAGAGACAATACAATTGTATACTATCTATGATGAATACGAGTGGTTTCGGGTTTACTGACACCGATAAAAAAATCGAAGTTGATTCTGATGATGTTTGGCAGGAGTATTTAAAGGTAATTTGGTCTAATATACCAGTTTTTACTTAATATAGGTCTTTTGTTATTTTGTATTACTCCACTCCACTTATTCGAGGCATGTTCTTTCATGGTATAATTGTTGTAGAAAGATGAGCAGGCTAAGGGGATGCGTGAAAAATGTTGGTCATACTACAAAGATTGGGAAATTATTTTTGGCAAGGATTGCGCAACCGGAGAATTTGCTAAGGATGTTGATGAAATGGTTGGAGGGAATGATAATGACAATGCAGACCATGAACTTGACCCGACAGACATTAACTATGAAAATGATGGGGTTGACGCAAGTAATAGTACTATTCAAGATATGAATGTTTCCACAGACACCCTTACCACCAAAAAAACGAAGAAGAGAAAGGCTTCAACACCTGTCGAAGTCATTTCAGGTAGCTTGGGTGATATAACAAGGGTGTTAGGTGATTATGTTACTACTTGTGGTCGTAAGCTTGATAATATTGCACAGCGGGTAGGCCATGCTCAAGATGTTTCTGAGGCAAGGAGAAAAATCTTTACTGAGCTTGAGAAAGTTGGGTGACTTGACGAGGATCTACTATTTGAGGCTGGTTACAGAATTGCATCTGATCCTATTAAGGTTGACTTGTTTTTTAGCTTGTCTAACGCTTTAAAGTCTTCTTGGGTAAGGAAGTTGTTGTACGGATCGAATTACCAAAGATAAGTAGGTTTAGGTATGGTAATTCTTTTTGTTGGTGGAGCATGAAATAGGTGAACTTAGTCATAAAGACTTGATAAAGTGACATGATATATCTGCCACTTTTTTTGATTGTTCACCAATGTAAGTAAGGGTAAAATATGTTTTAACTATGTTTTGGGTTGATGTTTATTATGAAGTTTCAACAACTTAGCCGTATTTGCATAATGAAGATATTCTATGTTTATTACCACTTGTTTTTTATATTGGTATGCACTTGCGTAGAAATGTACTAACCCGTGTGTAGTTAGACAAGTGATGAACAGGAAAACCCGTTTTTATGTCGTCCTTGTTGGAAGACAAGTTGGTATCTATACGACATAGCAAGAATGTCATGTGCAAGTGAATAGATACCCGAGCGCGTTGTACAAGTCTTATGATTTGTACGACGAGGCTGAAAATGCATTGCGCACGTACATTGACAATGATGATGTAGTAAGAGATGTCCAATGTGAATGTGAAGTGGCTGTCCATGAAAATCAACCTCTGAATAATGTTCGTGGGGAAGATGCAATGGACATTCCTCTAACAGCCCCGGAAGTTGTTGGGCACAATTACGAGGTGGAGGGATACCGTAATGTCGGTAACTATCTCATGTATATTGTGATGTTTGTTTTGGGTATGGTAATAACCCATTTGCTTTACTTTTTTCCTGGGTAGACTCTCTTGAACTATGTTTGTATATTGTTTGACACCTTTTGGACATTATTTATGGTTAGTGTTTGTAATGTTACCTCCTACGTTTTGATATTAACTACGGAATGTATTCTGAATATGGGTAACAAATTACTATATTTCTATTGTAATTGATATATATGTGTTGAGCTTGTGATGTAGTATTGTTTAATGAATGTGTATAAATTGGTGTTGTGTGAATGGTTTGTGCATTTGGTTTGCACAATATTATGTAGCAAAATGTCGGTTCCTCAAATTAGTGTTGCGGAAAATGAAGTGTTGATGACGTTGGTTCTTCGAAACAAACAACGGGGAATAGTTCCTGAACAAGGCAGAATGACAACTTCACACTTCAGGGATTTGTTACACCGACTGAAAAGGAGACTACCTGTAACTTGCATTGATCAAGTTGATCTTGTGAAGATCATATTTTTCAGGAAGAAGCTATGTTGAAGACAAGGATGTTTGCATGGGACTTAGCATCTTCATGTGTCATTGATGGGCCGATCGCTGGAGCGCGTAACTACCTACTGGTAAGTGTTTAAGTGAAAACTATATTCATGAATATAATCTTATGAACTCTTTATTTAATTTGTTTTCACATTTAAGTGAATTCATTTTAAGTGTAAGAGTTATTAACTTGCAGGCAAACAAGTTTGCAATTAGACATTGCATTGATCCATGTCCTTTGTTTGACAAAATAATGGAGGTTTTCAATGACGTATCCCCGGAAGAGCTGATTGAAAGTGTGGGCTCCTGCTCGAGTAGTGATCTAGCACACGACATAGATATTATCGAACTTTCTGATTAAGTTTGCTCCCATGTCCGATTATGACTGTATGTAAAATATGCTTTCCACATGCCATTTTGTTTTTTTGGGTATGACTGCATGTGGTAGTAGTTGTTGTTCAAGAGTCGTGAGGAGTTTCATATTTTGAGAATTTTGTTTATATTATGCATGTAATTAAATTTATGGTGGATGTTATAACCTTTTTTGGTGGAGCAAACTAGTAAGACAAAGGAAAACAGTTCTTAGCTCCTTACAAATGGAATGATAATACATATGTTAGTGGCAGTATGCATATTGTTGTGTTGTGCATTGAGTTTCTTTTTTGAAAATAGAATTATAGTGTACTGCTGGCAAGTGAATCAAGAATGGTGAAAAATTTTTGTGAATTTCCAATGGTGATGGAATTGTCATCTGACAGTGAACAATTGCTTGAAGAGTAATTAGTAATTTTGGTTGTATGACATGTTCGTATGTGTGTTGTGTGTGTGAGTGAGTGAGTGAGTGAGTTAGCTGGGACACAGGTTCAACAGAGCAGTCTGATCACGTGTAACAATGTAAAAAATGTTACTGTCAAATTTTTTTTTTTTGAGGCTATGTTCGTCTGTGTGTGTGTGTGTGTGTGTGTGTGTGTGTGTCTGTGTGTGTGTGTGTGTGTTACCTGAAAAACTGTGAACAATTGCTTGAAGGAGTTTTTTTTTCTATGATATGTTGGTCTGTGTGTGTGTGACTGAGTGACTTACCTGAGAGACAGGTTCAACAGTGCATTCAGATCACGTGGCACATAAACAAAAATGTTGGTGGAATGTTTTGTTTTTTTAGCCAAGTTCGTATGTCTGTGTTTGTGTCTGTGTGTGTGTGTGTGTGTGTGTGTGTGTTATCTGGAAACAGGTTCAACAGGGCATGCACAAGACGTGGTAACAAAAAAAAAAAAAAATTCCATTATTTTGATTTTATTCATGAACATGTGGTTGTACAAACAAACAAGGGCATGGATTGCATTGGATTATAAGGTTAGAATTGTCTTTTTACATTGGTAATTGCAATTATTGACTTTTTTAAGTTGGTATTATACATATAATATGTGTGACAAACAAACAATGAGAAGAATGAGATTATAATTTAAAACCAGATATACTATATCATTAGATCGGAGTGGAATGAATATAAACTCTTATACCACCTAAATTTAATACCCGAAACAAACAAACCCTAGGAGTCCTGGGGGAATCCTCCCAAAATAAATTTGAAAAAACACAAATTAAAAATAGAAAAAAGAGGAAAGAGGAAAGAGCAAAATAGGAAAAACACACGAGACAAAAATTAAACTTAGACATTTTCAACTATGACGCTTTTTTACTTTGTCATCTTAATTATCATATTTTTTATATTTTATCTTTAATTATGGGATGGTTTCACATTGCTTTAATTATTAACTTTTGTTACACACTTAATAAAAAGTTATTTTATTTTATCCCTGAACTATATAATTTTTTTTTTCTTTGCCTCTAGACATCAGTAATTTTTATCCAAAAAGATGATGGATATTTACGATTGGGACAATATGAAATAATTAAAGTAATTAAAAGAATAAAGTGAAAATTCAATAGTTCGAAGGATAAAATGAAATCAAACATAATTTAAGAGGTCAAACTATAATTTACCCACACAAGAGAGTGCAAGTGACTGACGGGGAGGAAAAGACAAAACATCTGGACAGAACATACGAAAAACAACGATTAATCTACATTTTGACTGCAATCCCAAACACTCCCTTAGGCCAATCACCGGTATTCTCATTTCTCAGAATCCACCCGTCTCTGTACTCCTCGGTCTTCCAAATTCCATCCCGCGTAGGAGAAACTCCAGACAGCAGCACAATTTTCATCACCTACAACAGACAAAACGGAAAATTTTTCATGAATAGGGTGCACATTGGTTTTGTTTTTAACATGACACTATCCTAGAACAAACATAACTCAGATTCAATCCAAAGCAGCAGGCTGATAGCCGAGCTGTGATGCGATTGGGGTCTGATACTGGACCCTAATTTTCCTTCGCATTCCTGGGATCTATCTATAAGGTGATCTTTTGGGGGAATCTATCCTTCACAGTAGTCAGTAGGGTGGGATGAACTCTCTTAGACCATTCGGACCCTATGGACCGGAACTCTCTTTCTCTCTCTCTCTCCAATATGTCCCGCCCTCATACAATACTCTACTGCACTTGAATTACCACCAAAGTCGAATTCAACGCACCCAACCAAGTTGCAACTAGAAGTCTTGAATTTAAACAGTAGAACACTGACACAATGCAACAGACTTATACATCACATCAACATCCAGTCAGCTCATGTATCTCTTATTACTTTCTGGACTGAATAGATATATACATCACACATCAACATCCATAGCAGTTTGTGGGAATGAAGAACATCCCAAGGATGATTACTAAGAAGAGATATGAGCACCAAACTTAGAGCCTCATTGGACATAGAAGAATTTTTAACAAGAAACGCAAGGACAAGTTCTAGATAAGGTGATAATGGACGGGAAAAGGTTTTTGCATCGTAAAGTATTGATGAAAATACCAGTTAAGCTGAAATCCCTGTCCGAATCATCAAGAATTCCAAATCTTCGGTGCCCGGACGAAGATGCTGCCATCGGCAGAAACGGATGGAAAGAGAAACCACTAACAGTATCTGTATGGAATACATCTCAAGCTATGAGTAATAGAGGAAACCAAGAATGTATGCTACAGATGAAAGCTTCTTTCAAAACTAAGACTAAAATACTAATACCTAATGCAGCTTGAAAGCATGACACCCACTGCCCTGTTTGAAGCTCATAAATATGAACCAAACCATCCTGGAAGAAAAATTGCACGAAATTGAGACATTTGATCTGGTTATAACATAACAAGTGGCCACGGAGATGAGGGTAAAGCTAAAATGATACCTGACCACCAGTACCAAGTTTTTGACCCAGGGGCTCAATATCAAATTGTATCCGTTGATTCGTAGTTTCTGATGATCTGTATAGTCTAATCATACAGTAGCGAGATCAATAAGATAAACAACTCAATATATGAAATCATTGAAATTTAATTTTGTAGGTATCTTTTAGCATCATCTTTGCTTGTTCAACCAAGAAAAAATGACTTACTTGAATACAATGTCAACAGTTTTGCGAATATCCCAGCAAAGTATGTAAGGGTCCTACAACATATTTGAGGATATCACTTTAACAAATGGTGTATATTCAGATAATATGCACTCCTGATGCTATCATAAAATAAGCAGCTAACAAATATAATTCAAGGTCCATAAAGAGAGAACAGCAGATGTTAAGCTACAATATAACAAAAATGCATACGAAATGAAAAAAAGGAGCAATTTTACTGCACATCACCAAGCCCAGGCCACAGGCATTTTGTTGTTCTCTATTACAAATAACCATCATCATAGTTGTCAAATTGTGTATCGGAAGGTGTATCGTTTTTTAAAAATAATGTATCGTATCGTATCGTATATCGTAAGATACGGTGTAATTTTAAATAATTACTAATCAAATATATATTTACAAACTTTAGGGTGTCTAGATGTAATTTATTAACGAAGATATATATTTTAGGGCGGTCTGTGTGTAATATTTTAAATGTTAGGGGGTCTAAGTGATTAAGTAACAAACCTCAAAAGGTCTAAATGTAATTTTTCCTATTTTAAAACATGGTGACAACCGACTGAGTGCCTCTTATCAGAAAAGAAAAAAAAACGAGAGAGAGAAAGATCGTGAGAACGATCGAGAGACCATAGTTGTTAGTATCGTACGATACGTTACGATACGGATCGTAGTTATGTATCGTTTTTGCACCGTATCGTCCGATACACGATACGTTTTTACGATACGATACGTATCGGTACAATACGACCGATATGTGCAAAAAAAAATTTTTTTTTTTTCTGAAACGACGTCGTTTTGTCTAAATAAGACACTAATTTTTTTTTTTGTATAAAAATATCTGAATCTTGATTAATTTTATGAATTGAGTTCAAAATGGATGTTAAAAATTTGGATTAAAAGTCTCTTTGGGATTTGAAGTTTGAATTAGTGAACTATGGTTGTAAACTTTGCATTATAATATTAGCGAACTATGTTGATGACTTGAATAGGTGGTGAAGTATGAATGAAATGCTATATTTTTATGAGTGTATGATTTTTTTTCAAAGGTATATATATTTTTTTATTATTTATTGAAAATTGCACCGTATCTTACGTTATACGATACGATACACTATTTTTAAAAAACGATACGCCTTCTGATACAAGATTTGATAACTATGAGAGAGACAGAGAGAGCGATCGTGAGAACGATCAAGAGACAGAGAGAGAACGATCGCGAGAGAGAAAGATCACGAGACAAAAGGATCATGAGATAGAGTGATCATGAAACTGAGTGTCGCTTTGCTTCTTCGATGGATTTCCAATTTTTTAGGGTTTCTTGCAATGACCTCTGCGAAGAAGAAGAATAAGTGTTTTCTAAAATCAGAAGAGATTTCATCCGAAATTTACAGGTTAGTGTTGCTATTTTTTTCAATTTCAAAAAAATTTTTCCTTTGTTTTGTTTGGGTATTTTTGTTGATTTGTGGGTTTGGTGGACTGATAATTCTTCTCTTCATCTTTGTTTTTGTTGATTTACCATTTTAAAAAAAAAAAAACAGAGACTTCATGTATCAGTCGATACGTATCGCATCGTAAAAACGTATCGTGTATCAAACAATACTATGCAAAAACGATACAAAACTCCGATTCGTATCGTTTTACCTCTGTATCGTGACATATCGTACGATACTAACAACTATGACCATCATTACTCCTCCAACCGACCCCTCCTCTCCTCTTGAACCACAAAAAAAGAAAAGATCTCCTTATATGCAAAATTCTATTTCCCTTTACGAGGGGAAAACAAGAAAAATTAGAGCTTTATCATTTTGATTTTACTTCGGGTAACAAAAATGAATGTGTAGAAACTTTACCTTTCGGCCCCCAGTATATAGATAATTGCCATCTTTTGAGAATTGAACCTGAAAAAGTAGAGTTGTGTTTGAGGAGTTACCCTTGTGCATCATTACCAACATTCAGAATAGATGTCAATATATGCCCACTTACATGTGTCACCCCACCTTCTTGTCCATGCAAAACGTACAAGAGTTCCATATTATCTTCCCTGTATATCGCAGTAGTTTGGCTGTAGGACCCCGTAGCAAGCATCCCGGTATGACTTGGACTAAAAGCAATTGAGGAGATAATACCTGAATGCATAAATGAACAAACTTGTTGACATTGACCACAACTTAATAGTTCTAACATGAAATTACAGCTTAAGAATAGTATGCAATGGCGCGGACAACACTTGAAAGCCAGGGTCACAGCAAGCTTCCAGAATTGCTTTTTGGTCAGTAAAAATTACAATGAAAAGTAAAAAAATCTCAAAAACAAAAGTTTCCACAAAGCTCTAGAGGAAGCTGTTAATGGCACTACCAATACCCCTTTCCAATAAGCATCATGATTATCTTCTGAAATACCTTATTCTCTGCTGCTTTACTCTGTTAATGCATGAAGGCTACCCAATTTTCACAAAATACATCAAATCCCCAGTATATACAAACTTTATAAATACTCTAGAAACTAATTCAAAGATTAAATTGGTGAGCAACTGTCACACATCCTACATGGATACTTCATACATGATAAATTCATGAGTGCTACAGTTCTTGCAGTGAATTGGGCGGTGAGCCACAGAAGATCCATTGCTCATCCTTTGTTGGCTAGACAAGAAAAAATACCTTATATAGAACTACGACACACTATAATTCTAAGATATAGAGTAGAAAGCACACCTCTATATAAGATACGGAAAAAGTACTAAAAAAACGTCTGACGTTGTTTAATCTTTTTAAGTTATACCTCATTGAGTTACCATCCAATAGTTAAATGTGGTGAACATGGCAATATCCAGACAACTACCTGCTTGCCCTTCTTTATTTCCTTGAAGAGTTGAATGTTGTCCAAAATCTCGACCAGGCCGATGAACATCAAATACTCTGATAGATTTGTTATATCCAGCATATATCCTGCAAAGGGAATAAATAAACTTAAATTTGATTGGGACTCAATAAGCATATTACATTCAAACCCTACCCAAACAAGAATAAGAAACATAAGGATCTATATATGATAGCTCATCGAGAACAATAATAACTGCATGGTACGATGCAACAAACCACCAGTCCACCGTAATACAAAGACATTTCATTGCCAGGATATAACTGGATTCTAATGTCTATTAGAGATATTAGCACAAACCAAAGAAAATATAAAACCAAAAAAAGAAAAAAAATTATTAGTCGTAACTGCATGACAATCAAACAATAATGCCGTGCTCATGCCTGACAAATTAGTCATGTAAGCAAGGAACCAATCCTATAATGATAAAGATAAGAATTTATCAAAGAGAGTTCCATGGCAGATTGTATGTGTGCACACAATTTCAGCTTGCATACAAAAACATCTTTTTCCACTGAAAGGACATTGATTTTCTTGCCTCACATGTGGATACCTCTATCTCAATGAGGCCGCACTGAATTCTTACCTACAGCGCACGACAGCTTAATAGGAAGTCTGATAATCCAACTTTAGGCAAAAAGGAGAAAGGAAAGGTATAGAAAATGAAAAAAAATCAATGCAAAAGAAAACATATTTCCAGGCAAGAGAGTCTACATCATGATACTTTCCGACCTTAGATGCAAGATCTCTATACAATCTTCTCTCCCCCATATCTGTGCCCATATAAATAATACAACAAAAAGAGACATACTCAGACTTTCTCATACCATAGTTCATAGTATAATCGAATCAAAATTAGTATGGAGCTCAAATGAGAAGTGCAGAAACAAATTAGCAGCAGGTTCACCTTACAAGAATGTCATTTGCAGCTCCCTTAAAGAATTTCATTGTTGAACACTTGTATAATTTATAACAAACAAAAGCAAATCATAATGCACAACAACAGAATTATTATGGATTTGAAGGCAACAGATAAATACAACAAATTCCAGTATTTAATTGATCCACAATAAAATATTCGATAACTAAGAAAATACAGAATAGAAAGTTGGGGCATATTCTGAACTCTTCAAAGAATTTAATGCTTACTTCGCTCCGGTGGGGTTGAAAGCAACTGAAAAGGCAGCAGTGATTTCATCCATGGCATCATATGCCCGATATGTGCAACGCAGCTGTAATTCCAATTTATTCAACTGGTTACTGACCATATATAGCCTCAAAATACCATTACAAAATAGTAAATAAGTTTTTTTCTGTTTTACAAAAGGGTTTCCCAGCAAAATTTCATAAGACAATAGAGGGTTGGTGTAACAAGCCAGATAGGACATTAATATTAACATATACTGAGAGGAGTATTCAATTTATGTCAGAATTAACTCAGAAAACATATTCACAAAATGCAAGTTGGCATTAAGGATGCAGCACCTGACCAGAAGTAGCATCCCAGAGATGAATAGGATGATCACGAGTTGTACTTGCAAAAACACAGGTACATGTGTCTGAAAAATTAGCCATGTTATAGAGTTAAACTTCCGATGTTACACTGTTGATCACCACTGGCATGATTGAAAGCATACACTGTATATTTAGTAGATAATAATATCCCCTCGTCAAGAAAGGCAAGAGATGCACCTAAAGCAGACATATAAGGGTACCAGCAGTAGTCATATACTGACTCTCCCTCGGTCACAACAAGATCTGCAGTATAAGAATCTGCAGCTAAGCAGTATCACTGTAAGGAGAAGTAAGAAAAAATCAAATAAAAAGAGTGGAAACTATTGAAAGTTAATGACAAGAACTATGATACTATTTTTGTGGGACAAATACACCTATTAAATTCTATTAAGAAAAAAAAAAAAGAGATCAAAAGGTTTTTTGAATATCTATTCAATCACAAAACTCTTCATTCAAAGTAAAATGTAAAGGCTTACCTGCATCAGCAGAACAAGAATTCGCATAACCACCACTTTCATTATCCGGTCTAAACGAGAGAATAAAGTACAGTCATCAAATAAAATCAGGTTTTTATACAAGTTAAGACAACAGCATGTAAACAGAATCACAATAACATATGGTGGCATTGCTGATCCCTTCTTTTTTTTTTTCTCTCTTTCTTTTATGATTTGTTACTTGTTAGTTGTTAGTTTAAAATAAAAGGAAGTGGAGAGACAAAAAAAGAGAAGAAACGGGAGAAAGTATTCTAAGGGGTAGGAAGAGAAAAGAAATGGAAGGATTTGAATCATTTGATAGCCCATATGCACACCTTTTTTCGCCCCTCCCATAACTAGAAAGATTTGGAGAAAAAGGCAAGGAAGTTAGAGATTAACTGTTTTGCCCTGTGTTTTTACATGAAGTGTTTTCTATTTTAGCCTTCTTACAATTGAAATAAAATACCTCATTGCCTTACTTTCTTTGCTTGTAATTCTCTAAAACAGAGGAGCAATTGTCAACCTCATTTTCTTTACTATAACATGCAAGAGAGAGGTGGGCTACAATTTTCTCTTTTTTTCTTCTCTCCTAAAAAAAATTCCCTTTTCTTTTACCCAATAGATCCTTCAAATTAGAGCAATCTCACAGCAAGACTCAGCCATCTTTAATTGTGACCACAGGCACAACATATGCATTAAATTATCTATTGCTTGAAAGCTTCATCCAAGGCATCAAAAGGAGCTACAAATTGCCTTAGTAAACAGATATCCAAGAATAATCTTAAAAACAAATCCCACTGCACAAAGATTAAAAAATACAGTAATTATTCCTAGTCAGTAAGCAAAAAAAGTCCCACTTCGATATTACATGCATCTTGTCTTTCCCATTTATTCCCAATTCACCCCAAATATTCAGTTATTATATACGTTCCAGCAATCACCAACCCAATTATGCTTTATCAATGTGATGTACCATCGGCAGCTAATATTTGGCTTCATTATTCAAAGAATCAAAACACCCTAATTCGTCAAACATTACACAACTTAGCCCATCACTGCATATCTCTCATTTGGTTACACTTGACTTTTGTGACTTCACATTACTTCAAGTATTGCATTTTTCTCGTGTGTATAGGCTATATAAAGCTTAACTTTTATTCAGAATTACAGGGATAAAAGCTCGTGCTGATAACTGCAGCATTGTGGGTTGGATTGGATATAAAGGCAGCTACTTTAGGTTGGTCGAATAAAAGAAGCAGTCACGGTAGACCCCTACTAGTAAAGGGCAATCCACCATCTTGCCCGAATTGGAAAGCAAAGGTGGGGGTTTTTCAATTTTGTTTTGGTAATGAAAAAAAAAAAATGTAAGTTCAGCTCAATGGACGTTCACATCACAAACACCACCCGCGCACACATATACACACATAAAGAGAGATAGATACATGTATTCCTGCATATATATAAATACAAACTTACAATGGGAATATACGAAAGGTATTATCGTCAGAGCACGTGAGGAAGCAAGAACCGTCCGGCGACCTGAAATCACTCAACAAAATCAGAAATCGAATAAAGAAAAACAACAAATTATGGATCTTACCAGAAGGATTTGTAATGAACAGAACAACTGGGGGCAAACAAAATTACCATTTGACGCCTTTATGGAAATTATTAGGGTTCGAGGGGGTTCTGAACTGTTGATAGAAGTGGTAAGTTCTATATGGCTGAACATCGAATCGAATCACCGGCCAAGAGTAGGCTTGATCGGCTGGTTGTTCTGTGATTTCTGCGGCTTCAGTGTCCAAATTGGTCTGCTGATCTTCTTCTTCCTCTCCCATTGGTTCTGTTTACAGACACTGCTCCGGTTTAAGCTCAAGGGGGTAGAGTTGTGTTCTTTGGGAGTCTCATATGACCGCCATCAAGGGTTTTGGGTTTGAAAGAGTTGGGCAAATTGCGCTTTACGCCCTTATAGATTTTAGGGTTAATTGTAAATTGTATTTTGGAAGATCATTCGATTTTAATATTTATTTTCAGATAAAAAATTTTAATTTATACTGATAGAAATTTATATTAACGTGTATCTCTAAAAATTAAAATTTTTAATTTTTACCTTCAAAAATATAAATAAATATTAATGTGCACTTCCAAAGATCAAAAATTTTAATTTATACCCTCAAAAATAAAAATTTGTATCAATGTACACCTAAAATTAACCGCCGTTAATTTACTACCTAAAATTAAATTGATAAATTATACCTAAATCGGCTCACGTTTGTCACTTAATTATTTGAACTTCTTCACATTTAGAATATTACTCTTACATCTCATGACGTTTATGCATGTGTAACACGTAACCCTTTTTAGTTGATATATGTTAATATAATTGTTAAAAAATATGATTTTATTCTAATAAAAAATTATAATTTCATATTACCCTTTATTTTATGGGTCCGGTATACTCTAAAGTTTAAAATCAAGCTCACAATTTGAATGTCCAATAGAATGTAAGTATTTATATAATATTTTATTCTATTCAATGCAATATATCACTTAAACATAATTATTTGAATGTCCAATTAGGGGGACATTTTAGATTAATAGTATTTTTATTAGGATTTTATAACCGTTAAAAAATATAATTTTATCCTAATAAAAAAATTATAATTTTATATTATTCTTTATTTTGTGAAGGGTTCAAATGATTAAATGAAAAATATGAGGGGATCTAGGTATAATTTATCAATTTAGTATATTACTCTTTATTTTGTGAAGGGTTCAAATGATTAAATGACAAGTATGAGGGGATCTAGGTATAATTTATCAATTTAGGCAGTAAATTGACAGCAGTTAGTTTTAGGTGCACATTGATACAAATTTTTATTTTTGAGGATGTAAATTGAGATTTTTGATCTTTGAGAGTGCATATTGATACAACTTTCTATTTTTGAGTGTGCAAATTGATACAACTTTCTACCTTTGAGGGTGTAAATTGAGATTTTTGATATTTAGGGGTGAAAGTTGAAATTTGTACAATTTTTCAGGGTGCAATTTATAATTAATCCAAGATTTTAAAATTTTTTATTTTGTATCTTTAAAGATTAAATTTTTCATATTATACTATTAATATGTTAAAAGTATTTGAATGTGACATTTCTATAAGTTTTTTCGACAATGTTAATAGATTGAATTTTGACAAAAAAATAATAAAAGTCAACAGAATAATTATATTATAATAATTTTGATACATTAAGAGTATATTAAGAAAAATTAATCTTTAAAGGTACACTGAAGTCAAAGTAGGTTATGGGTTGGGCTCCTCCTACATTTGGATTTGCTTTTGATCCAATCGAATTTTAGAGAGTGAATCTAGAGCAAACTTGATTAGGTGTGACATTAGTGCCATTGTATCATGCCACGGAAATAATCTTTACACATCTTTGTTCGATTCTTCTCCACCAAGTATGAAAGTATAAGAATAATTATAGGACGGAGGCTGCTTAAGGAAACTCTGATTCAAACCACTCTTCGGCTAAGAGGCATGTGCCTCATCCCGATCACGAGGAGAGATTTACTATGACGGGGGTATTTTTTATTTCAGAACAACAGAACTTGTAAGAATCCTCTTTTTAGCTTCCTCTACCCCCTAGAGATGCAAACGAGACAAAAGTAGATCCGAGAGAACCGCCAACTAAGATATATAGGTAGGGCACCTCAAGAGGGACCTACAAAAAGAAAGATTATGTTATATAGGCAACAGCAGCATCGACTCTAAGAAGTCAGAATCGAATATTTCTATTGGCATTCATTCATGAATAAAAATTCGAACGCGTGAAGTGAGCGCATAGAGCTCTTCATCTGCTTCTTTTTAGGGCAATTATGTTAGCACATTAAACCTGTAAAGTTGGGCAGTGAAGCATCAGGCTTCATGAATGCAATATATAAACAGTAACAAATGCAGAAAACGGAGAGTTGTCCTAAACATACATCATAAGCACCCTTTGGAGCAAAAACACAGTTACCCAATGAAGAAGACCACGAATGCTATGTTAGCGGCTAATGGACAACACGATCTCTAAACTACGAACATTTCGTAAATCTTGACTCAAGCTTAGGGCTTGAAAATACTATTTCCCTGAGGCCTTTTCCAAAATACCCAATGGATTAATCTTCAATTCGGTGTTCCTGCTATCATGTTAAATTCGCATGGAAGCACCAGCAAATGCTAAAATACAATAAATTGAAGTCAAAAATGAAAAATTTATAGTTATGATAGTGGCATAAATAAGGATAGTGTAACACATGACTAACCAAAATCATCAGCAATGATCAAATGTCACTCCTTGCGTTACATAAACACACTCGATAAATTATTTTGTGTCACTAAATTTCTTCCCATCTTCCTTTCTCGAATATAACTCGAAATGTGCAATTCTTGAAAAAAAATTTGCCTCCACCTTTCCGGTATTTCTCGTAACACCCATCTGTCATTGTAGGCCTTGCATAAAATCTGATAACTGGTGGAGTATTATTGTCACAATCTTTTCCTTTCCAATGAGAGATTATAGGCAATCCCACAGGCAATGGGATCCAAAAATCAAATTTCAAAAGCTATAAATGACTGTCACCCACAGGCAAAGCACTTTTCAGATACGGGTCGTCCCTGCACTTCGAGTATAAAGGAAGTTCAAGAGCTCTCTCTGCAATTTCCCTGTCCTCATGAATTTTTGCAATCAGGCTTTCAAGGGATGGGAAATTGGCCTGTCATTTTCCAAGCTCGCTATCAGTAAACTTGAAACAAGGATTAGAGGGATGGAAACAACTGAAAGGAGTAGCAGCCTAGGTTTATATGATACCTCAGGCCGTATATAGCCTACAATAACAAGACGTAATTCTTCTCCATAGAAATCCTCATTAAAGTCATGAAGCAACCACGGCTCCTAAAATTATAAACATGATTTAGGAACTAATATAAGGATTTGCTTAGGTTACCACCAAAATCCACACTGTACTCACTATGGTCTTCTCAGTGTTGTCAAAATATAGATTCCAGCCAATACTCATGACCATCTTGTAAACACCTCGTGTTGATAATCCAGCCCAACCAAAATAGACCCCCGAGGAATGTTCTGAAAGGAGAGTAGAATACCCTTCTGTGGACAAATTAGCTGAAAGAACAACAAGAGAAACTAAAAATAAGTGATTCACTAAAAGGAAAATAAATAAGTGAAAACAACACCACCAATGAGAGAAAAAAGAACAAGAGAAAGGAAATGGTTAATGGTAAAAACCTTAACTCTCCCAAGTCAATCCAGCAAAAGGAAGACCTCAAGGTTGTCTCAGAATTGAAAGCAAAACTAACTATCTAAAGCTAAAATTGAACAGCATAAAGGACTTAAGAATGCAAATATTAACTTGAGCTGAGTAAGGTACAACCAGAGGTGTGTTTTGATTTTATGCAAATAACATCCAGAGTTCCAAGATATATTCACAGGGATAGTTGCTGCTTTTGTTTCGTCCTGATGATGGGAAATGTATGCTGCTAAGGAAATGATGACCACAAAGTTTAGGCACCTGTAGGGATTCCAAGCACCTTTGACCCACGACCAAATCCTTTAATAACAGGACCGCCAACATGCCATGGTTCTATTGGTAAAGTACCCTCTATCCCTGCAATTACAATTCAATGGTTTGGATGAAAATGACTCACAAGAACAACCTAGTTAGAATATGGTAGTAACAGTGGTAGATGTTTACAATCTTGAAATGGAGGCAGGCCCCACTTTTCAGGTCGCAAATCAAGAAGAGAGTTGATCACCTCATCCGCCGAAGTGTAAAGATGGGATTGTTTTGGAAGAGATGGTACAGCAACCACTTCAATTCCAGCAGCCTTACCAGCCATAACACCTGGTCTGACATGGCATAGAGCATTCCACTTTAGGACAACTAGAACAGTATTTTTTATCCTCATCAAGTACAAATTATCATGTTAAATTCATGTCCAACTAGTCAAAAATACCAAAAATGTCAGACAGACATTCAAACCCAACAGAAACTCTAAATATCACACACTTTCAAAATCATAGGTGATCACTTGTCTCAACGTAACTGTTTCATGTCAACACAACAAAAGCTTATAAAAACATCACTTTGATGTGTGGTGCAGTTGTACCTATCCTTCTATTGGTAGATGGTTTCGCTGCATTTGAAATGGAGTTTCTTAGTCTACCAGGGCAACTTGATTTTTGCATAAAGCAAGCACATTGTCCATTCTTTTTCCCCAATTCTACGGAATGGAAAAACTAAATAGATGCCTATAAAGTCTCGGTCTCATGTTTGAACTGGATTTGTTAACATTTGACGTCTGGAGAAAATACGTTCAAATTTCCAAAAAAGTGACAAAGGTGTAACGGACAACTCTATTAACCAATTGATACAGAGAAGCACAAGTTTTATGACACTGACATCCATAAAAGATTATGTTTTCTGGTAAGCTGACTAACAAAGGTGTAAATTTTTTGACATACTTAGATTGGTGGTTGCATAACTGAATAAGATAGAAATTGTAGCAGAAAAAGAATACGAAAGAAATAAATTCCTTGTAGATATAGTAAGAAAATTAATACCACAAGTGCATCGAAATGGTTGTTACAATCTTACAAACAACTGATTAATCTAACGAACTTCAGTAGCTACTACCTATAAACCTAATTCTTAGCATTGAGAGGCAACCAAATTGAAAATGATGAAGGAATCAAGCGACCCTTTATGGAGACTCATAGCTTTGTGACCACATGATCGAGGTTTGCAGGTAATATTCACAGGTACAGCAGAAACTCAAGCTACAATATAGTTCTTAATTCTTCAAATAGTCCCAGTGAGTTAATTCTGGTGCAGTCAGTTCTAGGTAGTATTCCCATATACTTTTTATCTTTATTCAAAATTCCAAGAAGAATATCGAAAAAATGATGAGGAATTTTTAGTAGAAAGGAAGTGAGGAAGGAAAAAAAGGATCACTTGATCAAATGGGGGTCGTTTCTAAATCTAGGGATAAAGGAGATCTTTCAATTGGAAATTTGGAAGGCGAGAAATGTTTCGTTAGTGGTTAGGCTTTGGAGGTTTCCCTTGGAAATAAATTTTTTGTGACATTTAATTATCAAAAACAAATATGGGATACATACCAATGGATGGGACACTAATGTTGTTGAGTGGGGAAGTTTCCGAATTCCATGGAAATTCATTTCTCAATGATTGACGAGGTTTTCCCAAAGTGTTAGGATTGTAGTAAGTAATGGGAAAAAAATAAGTTTTTGGGAGGATGTGTGGGTGGGAGAATCTTCTCTTTCATATTTGTTTCCCGTCTTTATCAGTTATCTTGTTCTCATGGTTCTTACATTGCGCCTATGTTTCATTCATATGATTATTCGTATTCATGGGACTTTGATTTTTTAGTAGGAATTTAGATGATAGAGATACATTGATTTGATCTTAGTTATTGGTATTCTTAGTAATGTTTTCGTTAATGCCGAGTCTGGTAATAAAAGAAGATGATTGTTTGATTCTTCGGAAGCCTTTTCGTTTAGATTGTTTTGTTAATTATTTGGTAGATGAAAATAATTATCCCTTGTCCATTCCTGCTAGGATGATTTGGAAAGCTAATGTCCCTGTTAAAATACAAATTTTCACATGAACGGTTATGCATGGTAAGATAAACACTAATGACATGCTTCAGAAAAGAAGGTCTCACTCTTGTCTTTCCCCATAGTGGTGTGTGATGTGTAAATATGATCTCAAGAGCATTGACCATTTTTTTCTACATTGTTCAATTGCCTTGACATTGTTATACCATCCGTTTCGTGAAGCGTGCTTGAGTTGGGTGATTCCTGCAACTTCAACTTCTTTGTTTGTTGAAGATATAAATAGTTTGGGAAGGCTTGATAAAAGTGTTACTCTTTGGAATTGTGCTACAATGGTTACGTTTTGAGTCATTCGAAAAGAAAGAAATATGTGAATTTTTGAAGATCGAAGTGAATGTGTGGATGGAATGCGGAACCGTATTCATTACTTAACATCTTTTTGCGCTTCAGTAACGAAAGAGCTCAATGGAATTCCCTTTTTTGCTATTTTAGCGAGATAGAGAGCTTCACGTGATTTATTGGCTCTTTTTGTACTTATTTTTCAGTAAGATCTCTTATCCAACTTCTTTTCTGTAACTTATCCTTTACTTTTTATTAATACAAGAGTTTGTTTCCTATCAAAAATAAACAAATACCGCTTCCCACAACCTGTTCCATATGTAGTTTATGTAAGTGCAACCTAATTTAACTGCTTTCTTGTTCAAAGAGAAGAGCACATTAATTCACTACATTCTACCTCCTCACCATCTTCAAAGGAATTCAACTTTCTAGTAATTATGCCGATTAATATGAGTTAGCAAAGATAACAAAAATTCTGATTAAGCATGCAAAGAACAACTTTCAAGTAACATTTTATGGTTAATAAAAGCATAAAAATCATAAGGGGCAACATCTACCAAGTCCCTAATTGATTCTTTCGCATAAGTTCTCAGAAATGCTAAGGGTATGCCATTCAACACAATATGGATCTTTCAAGATAATTGGACAAAAAGACAACTGAGTGCTGTTAAAAGAAATCAAAAGCAACTCACATTGAATCTTCAATGACAAGACAGCTGGAAGGATCACTGTTCAACCTTTTAGCTGCTTCAAGGAATCTAAAAATAGTAAAACTGATAAGGTTAGAATGTCAGAGAAAAACATATCCATGACATATTTCCGCAAGAAACAACCAATGTTGAAATCAGGACCAACTCCTGTGTTTTGTCCCTTACATTTCAGGAGATGGCTTTCCTGCAGTTACTTGGTCACCGCCAATGATGACAGAGAAGGATTCTTTCCAGCCTGTGAAGGGAAAATAATGGGCAAATAAGCTCAGGAATAACATACACAGAGCAAGAACTTTTCATTGCATGTCATAATGCCACTAGCTTATTTTCCTCATCTGTTAGAGAAGAACATGGTTGAGGTCTCTAAAACATACCAGGATGGTAAGATATCTTGTCCTCAATGTTTGCCCTAGGGGAATTTGAAGCCAATGCCATTTTGACGCCATGGCCCCTCAAATGTTTGATTAACCGATTGGCACCGGGAAGGGCTTTGATACTGCCCCATCTACAATGACAATTGCATTAATGCATTTAGAACAAACTTTGGGGAAGGGAGGAGGGCAATTAAGAATTTATGATCAGTCTGCATGAAACTAACACCAGAGTGTAGTCCATATCTCCTACTTGGTTCCACAAAATCCAAAATTTTTACATACTTGACTAAGGAAAAACCCACTACTTTAAGAAAACCAGTGAACAGAAACATCAAGCAAACTGATGATTCCCTAACCCATTCTCTTCCCTTAAAGAACTCTCTCCTAGTATTCCCAAGATATCTTAAGACCCAGCACCCACATCCACCATAAGAAGGAAAATGTAATTTCCAATGCAATTTAGTAGAATAATTTATTCAAGCTGGCCGGTGAGATTTGGGTTTATCCTTCTACAGTAGAAGAATTGTTGCACATTAAGTTTTGGGTTTTTGGAAAGAAAAATGAAGCAAAACTACTATGGAACTGTGCTTTGATGGCACTACTTAGGTGCATTTGGATGGAGAAGAATACAAGAATATTCAATGATCATATTCTTCTAGTTAGTATAGGAAAGAGTTGTTTTTATGGCTTCTCTATGGACCAAAGCCACAGGAAGTTTTACAGGGCTACCTCTGTCGAATCTTTAATGGGATTGGACTGCGGTGTTGCTTTATTGTCAACCCATAGTTATTCATTATATTGCGTTTTTATTATTTTTTAGGATATCTTGTCCTCCACAATGTATCCTCTTTTTCGATTCCCTTTTCTAATAAATTCTTCTTTTATCAAAAAATAAATAAAATAGGGGTAAAATGATTTTTGTTTCCTGGATTGTTTTGTTTGTTTGTGTGGGGTGGGAGGGTGGGTAGGTGCGGATGTGTGTTGGGGTGGGACCATTACCACCAGAGTTTCTTTCCCAAAATTTAGAAAGCTTCACATCTCAATAATGATTGGGAGGACTTACGCTGTTAAAACCTGCATGTATCTCTTTGTCTATGTAAACTGAAATTTCTACGGCTTCAGTTATATGAACCACCATACTAGAAGTCTTTGGACGACACAGATAACTAACAATTAAAGTTAAGATACAGGAGAATTACTGATCACAGAACAGTGGATAAATTTCTGACATAAGTGTATCCGTTGGTATGGGAAGCTCATAATCTTCCACAATTGCAGCTGCAGCCTCTGAAGGTGTCTTTCCTACAATTCTTTGAGCTGTTTTTCCCTCCCATTGCTTCCCATACTTAACCAAATAAACTTTTAAAACATCACTTACAATGCCATCTGCCATGAAATAGAAATTGGATTATGAATAGAACAGGAAAAAAAACATTAACATTAAAGTAAGCAGGCAGCAGTCAGAGCTCGACATTGACCAAAGGAAAGGCCGAACCAAACAGTAATATGAGAAGAAGAACTGATTTGTATGTTCCATGTGCAGCTTATAGGCACACATCAGAACTGTACATTAATGATGTTTACATTAGGAAAATTCCAGAATTTAATGTATCTTTGGTGGATTGCATTATTGGTTGGCTTCATAAAGGAACAATCAACATTATGCTTCCCACAATATACTAGACATTATTCAAGAAAAGAAGCCCACCTGTGTTTAGAAGTGTACCATCCAAGTCAAGGATTACACTTGACACTACCTTCCTCAAAGAATTGGCCATGGACAATGCAATTAACAAAAGGAACTCTGCATATATATCCCCCAACACAATATATCTGAAATAGAAACACAAATTAGTTGATGGATTTATTTGTATAGGATACTATCTAAAATAGCTAGTCAAAATATACTTTTTTATTACACTATCTATTTTAAAGAGCAACTCCTACTAATTCACTCTAACAAAGCTCTCTATTTTAACTGACTATTTCAATTAACTTTAACTAATTCAACCACAATTCACAAATTTTCATAGATCGTGTTTTTAGTTCAAACCATTTCCTTAGATTTTGTCATTCACTGCTAAACCAGAAAATCATAAAAATTCCAGAAAAAATTCATAGCTAACAAAAAAAAATTCAGAAAAAATATCGGACAAATTCCAGAAAAATTGCACACAACCCAAGCAACTCATTCCACAAAACCCAAGCAAAAATTTTCATAATAAGAAAATTTCATTACTTCTAATTTCTTCTCTCCACCAAACCGGAACAGAGCGAAGACAGCGAGAGAGAACCGAAAGACAGATTTCGCTGGGTTTTTCGGTGGATTTTCGGTGGGTTTTTTTGTGGTATAAATACACAGAGGTTCTGAGAGAGAGAACTACATACATGGGTGGACGGTGAAGCTTCTGTGATTGATAAAGACGAAATTCGGGGTGCTGTGGAGCTTATGTTGTGGAGCTTCGGTGCTGTGGAGTTTGTGTTATGGAGCTTCTGTGAGAGAGAGAGAGAGAGAGTGTTCTGATGGAATCAATAAAACCCATTAAGCCATAATCAAATTCACATATTATCTAACTGTTGAAAACAAATTGGGGAAATGAATGGGCAAGATGATAAACAAATGATATAGACGGTTAAGCACAGTAAGAGAGATTTTCAATTACCGTACAAGTGGGATTGTGTGAAGAACTGACGTGGGTATTAATCTGATTTCTCAAACAAGTTGAGAGATTGATTTCTTCAATTACCGTACAGGTGCGATTGTGAAGGAATTGACGTGGGTATTAATCTGATTTTTCAAACAAAGGTGAGAGATTGATTTCTTTTATAGACTGAGAAACCGAAGCTCAGTCTATTTTCCCGTTGGGTTGGACAGAACCTTCAATTTGTGTGGAGTTAACTATTTATTTGGATGATCAAAAAGAAAAAAAAAAAAAGGGAAACTTCGTTTTATCCCCTCGTGGTATACTCTGATTGCACATAACCGCCCTAAGGTCTGAAAATAGCACATAACTCTCTTATGGTTGATGGACTAAAATGAACATTTAATTTTGTTAAGTGTGAAAATATAATAACCTTAATACCCTTTATTTTAAATAAAAAAAAAAACAAATATAGCCCCAAAATTATCATCTTCGTCATCTCAAACTACCCCGTCAACGTTTCCACCATATTCATCATCTTTATGTTAATGTAGCCCTTTTGTCTAAATTCGTGGTTAATTTTAATGGAATTTTTCACGTGCGCGTCACACGGGTGAGGGATTAGGGTATAATTTAGAAATCATGTATTATACACACGAGAAATTCTGTCAAATTTAACAACGAATTTAGACGGAAGGGTTACAACAATGACATAAAATAGTATAATTTCAAGGTTAAATTGACACAAATTATAGTATATGGGTTTGATTAACACAAATGATATAATTTAAAAGTCAAATAAATAGTTAACTCATTTTTGTAAATTATTTGATGGACTTTTAGTGCAGCAACACCTTAGTCCCACGTTTTATTATTAATTAAAATTCACTATCAATTCAATGTATATGATGTATTAAGTCACAATATAAGATCAATAAATTAAATTCAAATAATATTTTTCTTTGCAAACATGTATTATTTTTATGTTCAATCACCCGTAAACCATTTGGAATGTTGTCCAAATCGATTGAATTCCTGTTGTGCTTAGGTCCTCAAAATACTTTTTAGGTAACAATTATTTGAGGCCACTTATATTTAGTGATCATTAGGTCATGGGAAGAGACGAAATGGGGTGGCTTGATTCTATAATGGATGTACCAACTTGCAGGCCAACAAAGAGTTGACCACATTTTTGGAGCTTCTTTTGGAGGATTTCACTGCCAAGCCAGTATTTGTGAACTCCAACTTGTAGCAGATTTAGGTACCTAAAGCAACAATATCACGTTATCGTCGTTACATAGTGTCATTATTTAATAAGAAAAAATGAAATGGACAAAGTACACATCATTTTTATACGTGAGATGATTATTACATTATGCTAGCTTAACTATAACTAAGTTCTTCCTGAGAGGAATAATAGACACGGTTAAAAACCTCATGATCTCACTAATGAGAGTCTATCGAATTACTCTCCGAATGAATTTATTTGTCCTCTCTCCTTTTTTCACAAGCAAATAAAGGGAAAAAAAACCACACTAACGGGTCACGCTGTCACTGTCATTCTAGCACGCATCTAGGGGTATTAATCAAACTAAGTTATTTGAGTTTAACTTGGTTTCGACTTGTTTTCTAAATGAGCCCGAACTTGATCAAGTTTTTAGGCTCGTTTAGAAAACAAGTTCTACAAACTCGACTCAAATTCGATAGGCTCGATTCTTTTATATGTAAATACTTGGACTCGGCTTATTTTGGCTCGTTCAAGCTCGGCTCATTGCCCTACACGTAGCCTATGCTTATCACTCACCTTTGCTTAAATAGGAAGGGAGGTGGTGGTCTCATAATCAACGATGAAACAAATGTATTATACTCTAATTCCTTATGAACAATGAGGATTTGTTAATATAGATAGATCCTCACCATATAAAAATTTAGTGAATCCTCCAATTTTAATTAAAGACTGGCAGGAGTGGTGGTGGTGGTGGTTCATCTTAATGCCGAGGAAGTTTTTCTAAGTCGTGTGGAAAAATAATAACCCTTCCCAGAATTGCTAAATTGACACAAAAAAAATAACATTTTCCAATAATCTGATAACCTAATATATCCTTGAGCCAGTATACCCTTGGCAGAACACACATAGGGTATCCAGTGATTTCAAATTTAAGCACTTGTACAATAATTTTTTTGCTGATTCAATTCCACCCCCAAAAGTACTTGATACAAAAATTTCTCAGAAAGCAACAAGATAGCACGATGAAATGAATCAGTTCAAGTGCAACACAACCCAAAATTTTCCGATTATACAATGTATACAACAAAGAGAAAGTTCACCAGGTTTAGGTATGTGTGTAAACTAAACAACATCCAAGAAAATGTAGCAGTATGAAAAGAATATCAATGCTTGAATATAATTACAGCACCTTTAGAGGATCTAGGGAAGCTTAATAAGCTTTCAGCCACCTGAAGCTGGTCTTGAAATGCACCACGTACCAAATCATCTTGTCCAACACCACGACCATTGATGACCATTTTTTCCAATGCCCTTGAACTCTTAAGAAGAAATTGTAAAAATGGAATCTCAAGTCCACAGTGCCTGCCTTCAAAGCCAGAAATCCTAATAGTCTTGAGACGAAGGTCCAAACATCTGAAAAGCTTCTGTTTTGATGTCCAATAGCTCTCTCCATCAACATTGAAAAAGTTGGAAATTTTTGCATTGAAGCAGGTCTACAGACGAAGATTTCCGTTAAACCAATATTATCTAATAGGTTGCAATGCATATAATCAAATTTTAAAGGGAGTCACTTAAAGCAACCTCGACAAATCACCAGTGATAGTCTCAGTAAAGACTCCCATATACTTTAGATATAATTGCAAGAAAAGAAATAGAATGTGAAAATATTGGGATGTGGGAGCACATCAGATCAACAGAAAACTCCATCTCCAAACTCTAGAAGAGCCCATTTAAAATTCTGATAAACATGGAACACCTGCCTATTCTCGTAGTCACCACGACATCTAGAATTGATAGGAATTATAATACGAGGGGAAAGGAGAGATTGATTGGCAGTTATCAATCATTAAAAACCAATCTAAGCACACCTCGAGTTATGAATGTAAAACAAATAGATGGGAAAAATGTCTCCAGAAAGCAAACCTCAAATTCAAAAGATGGTGGGGTCATGTTTATGATTAATGTCTCCACGTCAGGTGAACTATGTAGCAGGTTTACTATCCCAGAGAGGTACCGTTCCTGGATAGGAGTATGTAGCATTAAACGTTTGCACTTCGGCAAGACAGATGGCAAACCTTTAATCTCCAGCATGGATAGAACCTGCCAATCAAAGCAAGAAGATAAAGAAGCCACACATGAACAAGATAAATCCAATCTGTGAATACTACTAATCTGTGCATAAAACATCCTGGAAGAAGACATTTCTTATTGTTCCGAAGTTCTACAATGAAACTTAACAAAATAGAGATGAGCTTTGTCATCCTTATTGATATATCCCACGAGCAACAATGCTGACTTTATGCATTCTTATATGAACTAAAACTTTGGCGTCCTTCTTTCTATTGGTCTACAAGATGTAACGTATATCCATAACTGTTGCACAAGATATGAGATCGTGCTTTTACAACTCTACCATGAATTAGATCAAAGAAGACTGTGATAGTTGAAAATGCAATGGTCATTCATTGTTAATTTGCATGTGCGTACACACACACACATAGGAAAATGGATAACAGCAATAAATAACATGACCACAACAGCAGCAGTTGTGATATTACAAACCACTTCTTGTTAAATAACTAAAGTGCTAAAGCAATATTATTACAAGTCAAATATACCGATATCATTGATTATGTTGATTGCCCTGTCATTAGCTTTCTTGTTTCCTTCTTTTCTTTTGGTCATGAATGCCATGTTTTTTTGTTGGTCGATCTCCTGTTTTTATTAATCATTCGGTAGAGCTACTTAAAACAATGCACAAAGAATTATGAAACTCCGTTTCTGTAGGCCTCTAAGGCATATTGAACTATTTTAAAGGACACAATAAAATTTTGATGTCTATATCATTCCAAAGTGAAGAATTAAGAGAATTGCATTGATAAAGACAACTTTTATGAGGCACGAGTTTTAATTCTAAATATGTAGCAAAAAAGGCACACAAGGGCATTCCCCATTCTCAGTAAGAAATATTCTGCATATTTGAGCAACAAATCTTACAATAACCAATCAAAGTATAAAGCAAAACATGCAGGCACATGGATGGGAAAAGCAAAACGAGACGAATTAAATTTAGGGCGGAAACAAACCTCAATGAACCAAGTTCCAAATGTAAGATACTTAATAAGCTGAATGCTGACTAGCATATCACTTAACATAAATTTCTCCATTTTAAAATCATCATCAGCGTCATGATTAATCTTTGTTAAGTAGAAATCCAGCTTAGCATCAACCGTAGACGAAATATTCTCTAGTTGAATAATTTTCCCATGTAAACACCCCAAAATATCCAAAGACCGAACACCCGGAGCCCAAATCTCAACAACAGAGTCCCCTTTTTTCTGATTCAAATACCCATTAATCACCAATTTCCTCAAACTCCCACCATTAATCTCCAGCTTATCGAAGCCCCAACAATTAAACAGCTCCAAAAAATTCAAAACAGGACTACCCAACACTATGTTTCCAATCATATTACCACTTAACTCCGTGGACCCAATTGTCAAACTCTTCAGTGATTTCCAACTAATCAACCCTTTAGGCACAATACCACACATTGATAAACTCAATTTCACAAACGACCCATTACTATACAAATGCTGAGGCAATTGAAAAAGACCAGACCCAAAATTATGCTTGTTGGAAAAATCCAATTTGAGCTCTTCCACACCATGTTTCGTAACGAAACAAAGCCAGACATTAACATCAGCAGAAAAACGACGGTGGTATGCGAAATCAACTGAAAAAATTTT